TGTGTGTGTGTGTGTATATATATATATATATATATATATATATATATATATAGATAGATAGATTCATAGATAAAGCTTTTGGAAGGTAAAAGTTTAATTTCAACACTTTGGTTATTTTATAGCTACTGGTATTTCAAAGTTTACTTGCCACAACCTTATACAGGCTTACATTCAAAAGTTATTTTATTATCAATGTATGTCAGTAAACTTGGCATTAAAACATAGTTTATAGTTTAAATTTTAATATAACTTTTAATTTTTTAATATTAAAATGATATATGTAAATAAATTATCAAGCTTTACTTTCTGTATCACATGACACTTCTTCAGTCCAAAGTGCCCATTTCTTCATTTTCTGCTACCCATATTTGGTCTGGCAGCTTTCTGTGGAATTTCTCACTTATACTTATACCACTATTCCAAGTTTGCCCCTGAAGAAAAATGGTTCACCTTTCGAAAGTGCTCAGGTTATAAGGTTTTTATTCATTTCACTTATACTGGAAATATCCCTGAGTTCAGCTGTCAAATTATAGTGAGAAAGCATTTTGCTTTATGGTAATATAAGCATTAAAGTAAAGGCCACATGCCACAGCTCCCACAGAGCATCCTGCTTTCAAAAATTATCATAAATTTGCTATTGTATTATTTCTAACCAGTAGAAAGCTAATATTTCACTTAACTGACAGTTACAAGATCTAGAAGCCTTGGTCTAAACAGATTTTAACATGTTGGTGTCATTTTCTTTGTATGCTGCTGTTGGAGCTCTGCTTAACCAGGTATAAAAATTATTTTAAACATTCTATATTAGTTAGAAAGCCAGATAAATTATGTACATTTTAGGGCATTCTATTTTATATGTATAGAAGTACTTCATATTATAAACTGGATAACTGAATTAAAAAAAAAAAACTTTTGAGACCACATTATCATGATGTTTAATTAGGGTTAACGTTTAGGTCAAATTTGATTGTACAAGTGCAAAATCTTGAAAAAAAGATTTCAGAAGCAAGTACTAAATTTCTCATTTTGTGTTATAAATTAACTAAAATGTAAAAATTAGAATCTAATAATAAGTAATTTTAAATGGAATAAATAAATAAAATACTCGTGATCAATAATAGCACACAGCAAACTTGAGCATGTTTGTATAATTCAATATGAGAGTACTGGTAACTTCATTCATAGTTCACACAAAGCTTTCCAGCGTAATAAATAGCTACTGTTGTAGTCTGAGAGGGTTAAAGTTCAATTGTAAATACAAAACACTAAATTAAAAAATCTATTAGCTTAGTGTGTAAAATTAAATATTGTGTAACTGCCTGTTAGAATGTGCACACATTTTAGAAGAAAATAAATAAAAAGAGTAATTTAGATTTTTGGATTTTTTGTGGCAGTTACCAGATTGGTCAAATTGGCAAAGTCTGTATACAGTTAGGGCAGAGAAAATAACAAATACAATATAAACCTAAAAATAATAAATAAATAACATACAACATTAAAACTGATACACAGTTAAAAAAATTTCTAATATGTGGACTCTACATGTTTCGATGTTTACTACATCATCATCATCATCAGGAGTGAGCTTGTGAGACATAGGCTTCATATTATACATTTCTTCTTAGCTAGATCATGTGACCTACATGTAGGTTTACATTTCAGCATAAATCTCAGAGAAGGTTCTACCATATTCTTACATAGATATTCTCCAGACCTTGATATCTATTTTAATAATTCATGATTTTTTTATACTTTATTATTTCTAAAGATTTGCAGATATTATTGGCTCTAATACCCTTTGGTTGAGCCAATATTACTGTTTTTCCCATAATATATTGTGTTTTTTATACATGTTCTGCTATGGCCAACTTTTCAGTACTTTCATTTTTTACATATCCCTTATGTTCTGCTAAACAATATTTTAAATTATGTTTTGTCTCTCCAATATAAACACTTCCACATTCACATTAAATTTTATAAATTCCTGCTTTTTCCATTAACTGTATATTATCTTTACTATTGCCTAAAATTTGTTTCATCTTATTCATCAGTTTAAATACAGAGTAAAACATTTGTTGTTTTTTAAACACTTTGAATAAACCAGTAATTAAAATCTGGAACATATGGCAACACTAAACATTCCTTTTTAATTTTATCATAACTCGGTTTTAGGGTAATACCTTTATACAATATTACCACATTAGTGAATTTGTTAACTGCTATATCTACAATAGTTGGGTTAAATCCTCTTTCAACTACTATATATTCCATTAGCAACAACTCGTTTTTCAAGTCCTCTTGTTTTGTAAAAGGTGTAAAAACAGATAACTTTGGAACATTTTGTGAGTCAATACTAACTTTCAAGTAGCAGCTGGTGAACTGTGACTGAAATTTAATTAATTAAAATTAACTAGATATTAATATATCAAGATGTGATCAAATTAGTTTTACTAAATATTAAACGCCATGCAATAGCTCCTGCCTGAAAGTTAGACTTAATTTGCACAATATTCCCAGTTTATTTAAGTACAAGCTGATATACCCATCCTTTGTTTGGGATATGAACTAAAAAAATGTGGGGGTGGATGCTATGATAAATAACACAAAAATCTTAACTTTCACACAATTTATTTATAACATATTATTACAGTGTTCATTATTACCTCACCCAAAGTTTTGTATAAGCTTTAAGAACTCACTATGTATATACTTGAAACATGGTAAACACTGTGCAATGGTCAGGGTGACTCTCTACAAAGAGGTAGTGGCCAAAATAGTGGCAATAGAGGTGCTTTATGTTACCCACTTTCAACACCCAGCTCTAAATGACCTTCCACACTGTTTCATGTAATTAACTAATTGATGGTCATTGGCCACAAAAGGGTCGTAGGGGATGAAGTTGTAAGGTGATAGGTCAAAGTAAGAAATGGACATAACTCAAGAAATGGCTTTTCATAGAAGCCTTATGGTGGCTGTTGTAGTATAAACTTCATCTGAGTTTGTTGCAATGGTAGTGGTCATTTTTTTTTATTGCATTCCTCCATAGAGAATGCTGATGCACTGTCTAAAATATATAAGATGTTTGTGTGTAGGTTGTAGTTTAGAATATTTAATTTGTGTGTGTAAGGGTGTGGCACCATCTATGAATGCAGTTAACATGAACTTATGTCAAAGATAATAAATGCTCAATAATAGCAATAATTGGGGGTGGAGAGGGTTGTGAGCCTCCACACTATCATGCCCTTTCTTGCAAACTGTCATCTCCCAAAGTTTGGTTGAGATTGAACCAGCAACCTAGTGGTAGTTAGATAACAGACAGACACAGAGATGTTTGTGCTTTATATATATACACACACACACACACACACACATATATATATATATTGAAAACTACATAGTTACATCCCCAGAAAGCCATTATTACAAATACCTACCCACGAAAAAGGAAAGCAAGCAAAGGACCAGCCAAATCCAGCCTCTTATTTCCATAGTGGTCTCGATCATCAAGTTCCCTTCGTCCAAGAGCTGCTAGTAGTAATCTATGAACCATGTATCTGTTAAATAGAGAGAGAGAGACAGAAAGAAAAAGAGAGATTAAAAAATTATTTTTAATAAAATATAAAGTAGGTTTGAACACTTATTATAAAAGTAACTAAAATATAAAAATTAAAAACTTATTAGGTTAGATTAGGTAAGGTAATGAAAAAATAAAAGGTTCACAAGGTATGCTCACGAGCAGCTCATGTGTTGTGTAATTCAATACAGTAACATGAGCTGCATGTTCACCAAGTGATTTACAACTTGTGTGGCAGGTTAGACATGGTTTAAAAGGAAATAAATCTAATGATAAAGCTAAACACGAATATAATAATAGGAAGCATTTATTAAACATTTCGGAATCTTCAAATTTCCATCATCAGTAAACTGCAGGTACAAAACAAACAAACAATATTTGTAATTACAACAGAAATATATACATAAGAAGTAAACAATTTGAATATACAAGAAAATGAAAAATGTGGCACGGATGAAATAGTTAAAATAAGCTTAAATCAAGTGAAGACTATTATTTAGGGATGAAAGGAGAGTTTTTACTTATAATGTTTCTTTTATAAGTTTAGTATCATGTTTGGCTATTGAGAATTTTAAAGTTGGAGAGAGAAACCAGATGTCCTGTTTCTGTATTGTGCTGATAGATAGCGGATTTGAGAGGGTTTGTAACCTTTCTTCCAGTTTTTACAGATGTGCCCCATGTGTTCACATGCTCATACTTTAAGGTGATGTGTATAAGTAGACGAGATGTGAACAATGGGCAGTCGGCAAACGATCTTTATGGTAGAAAACATTTTTTGTCTGAAATTGGGTTTCATAAAAACTAAAGTCAGTAAGGCTTCCTATATTGGTGAAACCAAACGTCACCTTAAAGTACAAACATGATACTGATTTTTTCATAAAAGAAACATTATACAAAAAAATGCTCCTTTCATCCCTAAATAAGTCTTTACTTGATTTAAACTTATTTTAACTATTTCATCTGTGCCACATTTTTCATTTTCTTGTATATTCAAATTGTTTACTTCTTATGTATATATTTCTGTTGTAATTACAAATATTGTTTGTTTGTTTTGTACCTCTAGTTTACTGATGATGGAATTTTGAAGATTCCAAAATGTTTAATAAATGCTTTCTATTATGATGTTTGTGTTTTGCTTTATCGTTAAGTTGTGCTTTCCGATATAAAAACTAAATACAAGCATATGTATATTGTTACAAGCTTTAAGCTATTTAAGACAAACAATTGTAGTTTCATATTACAATTTTCAGTCATTATAAAAAAAAATGGTAATTTAGATTTTTTTTTTTTTTTATAGTGGTTACAAAGTCTGTCAAATTGACCAAATGGGTATGAATATAGTTTTCTGGAAAAAAAAATGTTTGATATTTATTTAGGAGGTTTTAGAGATTATGCATATGAAATCTGACAATTTTTAGATGAAAAAAAAAGTATTTTTAATCTTAACATGAAAATCACTTTGCACTCAGAGCAGTCAACACATACATTCACATGCAAAGTTTTAGTCAAAATACTACATTAAAAATTCTGACTTTTGTCTACAAAAGACTTGCCCACTAAAAGCTTGCAAAACTTGGTGAAGATACACAAAACATATAAAAAGTTAACATATAAAAACTTATGGTCACTTTAGGGTAAAGAACTCGGTCAAAAAGACAGAGCTTGTAGCAAGAGGGTTAACCATTGACAAAATATGAAAAAAAAAATTCAAGGTCACAATAGAGTAACTTGTATGACGTACTGCAAGTTTTTCTTTTCATATTAAGTCCAGAAAGTGATTTCAGATTTTAAGACGACCATTAGGAACCTTTCCTTACCCCAAAAAATAAGCTTTCTTAGTTTCACAAAAATCACTAACTCCAACATGAGGTAACATCTCCTTTTGAAGAATTTCTCGGGCATACTTAATCCGTTTCTCTTTAGTCACACCTGGTCTAGCACCTCTAGATCCAATGAAGTTTAGAGCTACATTCTGCTCCTGAATTACAAAAGCTTCATCCAGAGATGGCTTCACCTGTGCCATAAAAAAAATATTGGGTATGTAAATAAAAAATAAATCATATTTACTGCAACACCAGACTTTTCAACATCATGTTAAAATTTAACAAACTTATAAAACTTTGTTGCTATTATGTATATATATTTGATTTTTTTTTATTTGTTTATAAATATTTGTATACATGTGTAATTGTGTATTCTTCAGAAATGTGCTTATATTTGTTCCCCCTCTGCACCTATCATATAGCTCCAGATTCACTTCTACCTCCACTTGTACTTCCACAAGCTAATGCAACTCTACTTCATCCTCTGAGCAAATGAGATATCACTTCAATCAATGCTTCCAGCTTGACACCCTCTGATGTTGATGAAATTTGGTTGACTATTAGGTCCATATAACAGTAACTGTGTAACTTTCAAATTGATAACTGGACTCTATTATGTATATTGTATACATTTTTCTAGTACATTAGATATTCATAACAGAGAAAATGACATGCTTACTAATTAGAACAGTATAATCAAGTATATCTATAACCCAGTTACTACAGCACTTGTTTTTGTGATATAAAACATTTTCTACTAAGATTATAGCAAAACTGTGGTGTATTGAAAAAATGACATCTTACTGACCTTGTAGTACATGTGGGACTCAGTAAATGTGAATAAAGGTGAATTTATGATGTTTATTCATAAGCAAAATTATTTACTCAAAGAGGGAGTGACAAGTTACCATCAACTTTCCCTAGCCCTCAAAATTACAGCTAATGTTAGATTGTTTCTGTGTCTGCTCATACTTGAGGAACTGTACTTTATAGCAAAAGAAAATGCTCTTCCTGTATGCTTTCATTGACTTTTTTTTGGGTGAAAATTTACTTTGTGCAAAGTTAGAAAAATCATGTGAGAATACAGGTCAAAACCTGGTGTTAACAAATTTGCAAGTGGTTAAAGTGTCAAGTTTTACGAAGCACCGAGTATGATGTTTGAAATAAATCCCAGAATTATAATCATTCAGCCATGTCAGGTAATGGTGAAAATATCATCTCAAAAACATGAAATGCCTAAATATGGAACATGTTACATTTTTCAAATTATGAGCCCCATATGTTTGGTAAACTGTAAATTTACTATTTGAGATACTAATCTGAATTTTTTTTTTTACCTTGATACAGTATTAGTGCATATCCAAAAATGAAAACTGAATCTAAAATGGTGAAGGTGGAACATTCTACAATAAATGGTTGGGTTGACATGAAAGACCACTACTTACAACCTAACTTCAATGATCTATACACCCATTCTTGTATAACTTTAATTGTAAGACTCCAGTCACACATTTTATAAAGCCAACCCATTCTTTAATTCTCTTTCATTATTCAACCTCCTATCAATTCCTTTCTCAACAATCCATCCACATCTAAACTTCTTTCTTCACAATACAATCCTCTCCACATCACAATCCCACCCTTTATCCACCTCTTTCTCAATGATCTAACCCAAGTTCCATCTTCATATTCCTCATATTTCTCACTCAAATTCCATTTGAACTATTACTTAGCAACTGGATTACTGTTGTTCACAAACTCAAGACCCTTAAAATCTCTGTTCCATTTTGTTGAGGTGAAAACACTACTTACTAATATCATGGCAGTTAATTTCATCAATTCAAAACAGCTAGATAATTGCAAATGAAAAGTACCATTTCCATCATTTCTGGATCATCAAAATCATAGATGATGTGTTCAAGAATGTCTCGGTCTGCCACAAAACCCAAAGCTCTGAACACAATCATGATTGGAATTTCCTGTTTGATATATGGAAGAATTGCTATAATTCTCTGGCCAATAGCACTCTTTCGTACACCCTGTGATGAAAAAAATTACAAAATTAGTCATTAATATGCAAATTTAACCAGCAAAAGCACGCTACATTTTTTTTTTACTTTCTTCTGCATTAAAGTTTCTACTTATTCTTTTATTATTTCTTTTTCTCCACAAGGAGATTTTGAAAAGCAATATAAAATTAATTTTACTAAAATTTCTATTGAATCTCAGGATTATAAATCATAGTTCAACAATATCTCCTTCTTTAGTAAATACTATTACTGCAATATTTTAAAGCTTTATAAACTTGTAGCTTTTGGTTGTGCAAGTATATATACATATAACTCTTACCACTTCACCTATTGTCATAAACTTTAAACTGAAGCATAATTTACAATCAGTAAATGTGGTCTGACCCTCTTGCAACAAGTAGCTGAAAATGCACGTCAAGATCTTTCACAGATTTACATTCAAAATTTAATTAAACTACTTTATTTTCAATCTAAATCAATAAACTTGGAATCAAAACAGTTAATCAATCAAGTTTTAATTTCTTAATCCCATAAGGAGATATTCAGAAAAATCTTCAATCTTGTGTACTATAAGATTTGTTACATTTGTTCTCTAGGTCTTCCCCTTCTCCAATTTATTTACCACTCCTCTCTGAAGTACAGAATTTAATGTAATTTACTCATTATGATGTAGAAATTACTAAGGCATAGTCTAATTTTTTATAGCCTTCAATTCGATTTGTTTACAGAGTCATAAACCAGAAAATCACACCCATTTGCCCTGCCCACCTGTCATATCCTCACTTTAACAAATTGCCAATAATTCTCTCCAACATTTTATACTATATCATTTATAACCAATAAAAAGGCAAAGGTTTAATCAATCTATCAAATGACGTATGTTGCTACATAACTTTCAGTACAGAGTATGGTCAATTTCATCTCCACTTTGAAAGTTTGTCTCATGGAGTTCAGATTGAGCAGCAAAGGGAATTAATTTAAGACCCCCATTGTCCTAGTTAGAAAGCCAGTTAAATTATAATAGTTATGGGAAATTGTTTGCTTTGTGGATGTCATTATTCCATGTTCTTAGGTGCATTATTTAAGTAAATAAAAAATTGTCACTAGTACCGTTATTATAAAAAAAAGTAGGCTTAATTTTCATTTCTTGTTTTTCATTTATATTATTGTTTTATTATTATAAAAGTAACTAAAATGTAAAAATTAGAAATTTATTATGTTAGATACAATAATGAAAAATAATAAATAATTCTTACCAGGTATGCTCACAAGCAGCTTGTGCATTACATAATTCAATACAGTAATATGAGCTACATATTCACCGAGTGATTTCCAACTTGTGTGATGGGATTATTAATTAGACACAGTTCAAAGGGCAATAAAAAATAAAGTAGAAGCAGATGTAGACTGATGTGACCCTTAAGCTATTTAGGATAAATAATTGTATGTTTCTGTTAAAATCTGCAGTAATTCTAGAAAGGAAAAGAGGGTAACTTAAATTTATCGCATTATTTTTTATGGGAGTTATAAGGTCGGTCAAATCAACCAAATCTGTATAGAGTTAAGATATAGAAAATAACAAATAAAATATAAAGTTTTACTGAAAAAAGAACATTCAATTTTTATTTAGGAGGTGTTAGAGGTTACGCAAATGAAACTTGATAATTTCTGGATGAAGAAAAGTATTTTTATTCTTGGCGTGAATTATTTTATTCTTTGCACTCTGTAATCATAGTGATTACCCCAAGGGCCGTAAATAAGGGGGAGGACACAACTGGGCCATGGCCCAAAGTCTCGCACCACAGAGCCCTGTAGGTCTAACGAAAATAAATTTTTATAAGAAAAAAATAAAAATAAGAAATTTATATTTATTTAGAATAAAGCAGAACAGTTTAACAGTAATCGCCATTTCCATTGACGCTAACAAAACAATAATACATAGACTCAGCAATAAAAGATAGTGCGCCAACACAATACATAGACGCAGCAACAAAGTTAGAGCACCAACACAAGACATCACAGCAAAGTTTTATTCATTGATACTAATATATCATTTCTTTTTAGGTATGCTGAATTTAAGTTAATTTTAATTGTTTTTTAATAATTATAACTTGTACTTTTTATTTTTCAGCAATCTGAAATGGATAGAACAAGCTGTGACCATGATAAAGGAAGGATTATGTGAAGCGCAAGGAAAAAGCAGAAAAGATCAGAAAACTGCCAAAAATCACACAATGGTTACAAGTTCAAAGTGTTACTGTGGCTGTGGAATCTCAGTCTTATTCTGATCCTGGAGAGGAAAGTACCAGTACTGATATGAATCAGCAGCACACTAACATTGGTGCATCAGATGAAGCCACCGAAGTCCAAGCTGAAGAAGCAAAAGTTGGAATTAGATTACAGGAGTTAGACAATGATCTTGGTTTATGTCCCAATAAATTACATGAAAATATGCGCAACTTTCGGTTAGAAAGTGGGAGCTCAGAATGTAGTCACTGTGACGGAGACTTCAAAGAGTCATCTGTGAAGGAGCTGGACAGAACATGTCATTGCAAAAAAAGCATTATTTGGAGAAAAGATTCATCTTACATGGCTGTGTTACTCGAAGGCTACTGGTCAAGTTTATTGTTTTGTGTGCAAGCTAATGTCAAATATTGAGATTCTGTTAACAACTGGCTTCAATGACTGAAAGCATGCCAAGAATTGCATTGAATCACATGGCAGATCAGATTGGCATAGAAAAGCAATGGCTGATTTGACAATTCGAAATCCTGTAGGTATTCAAATTGATGCATGTCTTGTGGAACAATATGAAACTAAACGCATCTACTAGCGGCAAGTGCTGCAACATTGTGTGGATGTTTTAAAGTTTCTTTGTGAATGAGGTCTGGCTCTTCATGGTAAAAATCAACTTATTGGTTCTGTGCATAATGGTAACTACCTTGGCATTCTGGAGCTTTTAAGTATTTATGACAGCTTCTTGGCAGCACATATCAGTAAGCATGCAAATAAAAGTAGTGGACACACATCATACTTCTCACATTTCATTTGTGAAGAACTTATTCTACTGATAGCTGACAACATTTTGTCTACAATCATATATGAAGTTCAAAATGTAAAGTACTTTTGCATTTCTGCAGATTCTACACCTGACATATCTTATACTGACCAACTGAGTTTTACCATCTGCTTTGTCTTGCCAGCAGGACCAGTTGAATGATATATGAAGTTCATACCCATGTTCAGTCACACAGGCAAGGAAATAGCTGAGATTGTTCTGAATTTTCTCCAGAAGGAGAGGATACCCATTGTAGATTGCCATGGCCAGTCATATGGCAACACAAACAATATGTCTCGCAAGCATTGTGGTACACAAAGCTACATAAAAGATGTGTGTTCTTACACTGAGTATGTATCCTGAATGGGTCATTCTCTGAACTTGGTTGGCAAATGTGCAGTAGAAAGTTGCCTTGCTGCTGTGGCATTGTTTAACCTAATAAAGAAGGTTTATGCCTAACTTATGGCATCTACCCATTACTGGAGAAAGCATCATGAATCATTGCAAAATAGCAAGAATACAAATTTGAAAGTTGACAAAGATTTGTCAGCACGAGCTGATACTGTCAAAGCTCTTAATGAAGGATACAATGTTAGAGGAGTTATCATTGGATGACAACCAAACAGCTGAAACCAGGGCTGAAGCAACTGGTCTTGTCCAACAGTTGAAAGAAGATGACACAGCTATTTTGCTGGAAGTGTGGCATACAATTTTAGACAGATTCTACAAAACAAATCTGCAGCTGCAAAATGATGATCTGCCACACAGCTGTACAGTTACTTGAGTCTCTTTTAAAATTTGTTGAAAACTTGTGGCTGAAGTTTGATGAATTTGAACAGAGAGGCATTGAAAAGTGTGGTCATAGCGACTGTAACTATAAGGATGATAAGCAATGTGTGCTGTGGTAAATGAAAACAGCATCATGATGAGCTAGGCACAGTGGAGGATGCTCAACTGTCATTTAAAGATAAGTTTAGAGTGAGCGCCTACCTTCCCATCACCGTTAAACTTTGTGCTGCACTAAAGCAACATCTTGAAGCATATGAAGTTCTTTGAGGAAAGTTTGGATTTCTATCAGACATGCTCAATCTACCAACAAATGAGCTCAGAGGAGCCACAGCTAACCTTGTCAAATGGTATCCACGACCTGGAGAAAAGCCTTGAGTCAGAAACTGTGCAATTTGTATTTATGCTAAACTCAGCTCTTACAGCAACAGCTTAGGAATCATCAAATACACAATTTGAGGAGAGTGCTGAACTCAAGATGTTTTTGGGCGGATTGAAACTTTTTCAAATTTTGAGATAACTGTCTGTATTTCTGCATCTTTGTCACAAACTGTACTGGAGAGTGCTCCTTTTTTAAATTAAAGCTAATAAAGAACTACCTTTGAAGTACAAAGGAACAGAACAGATTGCGCTCTTTAGCACTTCTGAGGGTAGAACATGACACTTTCCAAACAATTGACTTTGGTGGTCTCATTATAGACTTTTCAATGCAAAAAGTTTGCAAATGCCCATTTTGAAATACGTAACACCACATGTTTATGTATGATTCATATGATACAGATAAAGTATGATTTTTATTGATAGCTAAAATATGTGAAACATGATTTTTATGTAAAAAATGAAAAAAATTACATTTTGTTTTGAGTAAAAAATTGACAGATTTTAGAGTTACTTAAATTTTTTGCTGCTGGGCTGTGAAGAGCAGTTGGAAGATGCAATCCCAAAAATCCCAGCCGCCTCACAATCCCATCTGGCCAAGGGTCCCACTTACCCTAAATGCACCCCTGATCATATGTTCATGGATAAATATTGAGTAGAAATACTTCAATAAAAAAATCTGATTTTTTGTGTAGGAAAGACCTATAATGCTTACTGAAAGCTTGCTAAATTTTGTAAAGATACACAAAACATATTAACCATATGGAAACAGGGTGGAACCCAATGGGCATAGCTCATATGGAAAATGATACACAGTGCAACAATATTTAAGATAACTCTGAGCTTTCTTAATGTATCTTTATAAAAAATTGGTAAGATTTTGTTAAAGATTACAATATTTTGTATACCTAGAATGACATTATTTTTATCAAGTATTTCCAATAAAATCTGTTATTTATTTATTGTAGTAATTTGCACTCAGACTCTAAATTATTTGAATACAAGGTGTTAAGTATAAAAAATACTTTTTTCTATCTTAGTTTTCAAATTTAATTTCCATAACTTCTAGAACCTACCAAAGGAATAGCATAAGCTGTTTCTAGGTAAATATTTATATTGTATATTCTCTAACGTATCACTAACTCCAGCTATTATCCTCAATGTGTAGTGCAATGAAGTGCTTAAAAAAGAAACATGTACATACCTTTTAATTTTAGTCAAATAATCTTGAAACATCTTTTACTTATATTTTTAATTGCATGTCTTTACCTTTTCACATATAATTTGTTTTTTAATGTTTTATTTTTCATTCCTGTTCCTCAGTATTGCAACGCATGTCCATTGGCATCCCCAGCCAATATTATAGTATCACGGGTTGAGAAAGTTTAGCCATCAGTAGAATGGCACATTTGCTAACCCTCATGAACGAAGGAGATGGTTTATATTTAAAAAATTATTAATCCTTTCAAATATGCATCTTGTAACACAAATAACACATAATTAAGTAAAACATAAAACTAAAAAATAAATATAATTCAACTGCCTATCTAACTAACACGTTTCTAGGTGAGAAACAACAATAAAGCGACAGCTAAGACAAAAGTGGAAACAATGCTGAGTGGTTTGACTAGCTCTGTTTCGAATTGTTCACACCAATTTTAAAATAACTGTTGGGAAATTGAGCTTTGAAATATGCTTTTCTATTGGTTATAAACATCTAGCTCAAATAAGTATAATTGGCTGAGAAATCAAGAATATATGTGTAGAAAGTCAAGTCAAGAGTTTCATGAAATTTATTTTTCCTTTACTGAACATACTCTAAGAAGCTTGTAAGATGAATATGTAAACAGAGCAATTAACTCAGTTTTAATTCATACACAGAAGTAGGGAGTACATATTGAAGTATTCAAGTTACAGAGACAAAAAGTTCCAACTTTCTGAACTTTTACATCACGTGACAAGATAGCTAACGTTGAAGAATTTTTCTTTAAGATTTCTTTTGAAATAAAGGAATTAAAATTTAAATAATATAAAACTTCGAACTATAATGTAAATTTTAATTCTAATTTCATTGGCATAATTTTGAATGTGACCAAGTAAAACCTCCTGACATGTACAGAAAAGGGTACTTTGTGGTATGGTATGCTACCCCAACATACTTAATCATGGTTGCAGATACAAAATCTGATGTCCTTTTTTACTTAAAAACACCAATGGTTGTCAATACCAAAAAAAAAAATAATAATAATAATAATTTGTATCTTTAAATTATGTTATTTTAAAACAAAAATAAATTATTTGATTGGTTAGAACAAAAACAAAAATAACTTGATTGTCCAAATCTGAAGTTTTAGCATGTGAGTGGCTTTAAATATCACTCTGAAATCAAGAAGTGTTTAGAAAGTCAATAAGATGTATGTGAAAGTTTTCATTTAAATATACAAGTTTATCCTTACCTGTCCTCCTCTGGCCAACATATTAACCCACAAAGTGCTAGTTGGTCTTGAAGAATGTTCAAGGCATGATCTACACTCTGTCTTGTAAGCATACTTAGAATCTTTCATAGAAAATACATAAACAGTGTTGGTTGCCATTTTTTCTTGAGCAATAAGAACCTAGAAGGAAAAAGCTACTTTTATTATCAAGTTTCTACTGATATCGAACAACTTTTATTTAAGTTATTTACTGTTATGTAACAACTCAATTATTGAATAAATTTATCAGAAAAGCTGTTTTATTCAAGTATGGTCTTGTCAACTTTCTACTGATATGTAACAACTTCATTACTGGATACATTTATGAGAAAAACTTCTATTTAAGTAGGGTCATGCAAAATACCCTTTATGTAACAATTTAGTTACTGATCATACTTATGAGAAAAGTTGTTTTTATTTAAGTATGGTCTTGTCAGTTTTCTAATGACATGTAACAACTGATACTGAATATATTCATAAGAAGAGCTGCTTCTATATACGTATGGACTTTTGAACTTCCTATTGATATGTCACAATTTATTGCTGAATATATTTATGAGAAAAGCTGCTTTTATTTAAGTATGGCTTTTTAACATTCTACTCTTATGTTACATTTTTGTTACTGAATATATCTAAGAGAAAAGTTTTCTATTTAAGTATGGTCTTGTCAGCTTTCTACTGATATGTAAAACTTATTTACTGAATATATTTACGGGAAAAGCTGCTTTTAATTAAGTATTTTCTTGTCAACTTTCTATTAATATGTGACAACTTTGTTACTTATATTTATGAAAAAAACGTGTTTTTATTTAAGTATGGTTCTTTTCAACCTTCTACCAGCATGTAACAACTTAGTTGCTATATATATATTTTTCAGAAAAGCTGCTTTTATTCAAATGTGGTCCGATTAGCTTTCTACCAATATATAACAACTTAGTTATTAAATATATTTATTAGTGTTTGAACGGGTACCAATAATCCTAACCGGAAGGATAATTCGGGCAGGTATCCTGGTGCCCAAAAATTTCCAACCACTATCAATAGAACAGTTTCCAACATGCAGAAGACGAAACAATATGAACCATGATGCTACACAGATTAAGTTTACTTCATGTGCAATGTTGTTTTTATTTTTCTAGGGAAGGCATGTCTAAAACTCCCGATAATAAAATGTTATTAATGTTTGGATGAAAATTAAAAGAAAACAGTAAATGATATAATTATAGATGAAAACGATGTTAATCTCGAAACTTTTTGCAGCCATCGTGTATACTGTTGCATAAGACTGCAAAGTATAGACTACTTTGTGTATTCTCACTATTCTGTATGATGTACTGAAACAAATTCAAACAAACATCTCTCCAGTTTTTAACTTTTCACAAATTAGTAATTAGCACTGATCTAGTGGTCATGAAATTAATATCAAATTATAAATCTTCCAACTGTTGGATACTATTCAATTGGATACTATTAACTTATTGATATTGGTAACTGGTAATGAAACAAAGTAATCTTTAATGGTTCACCCCGGCTGACTGTCATTACACAATACTCATGCTGTGTAGGCAATATTTGTACATGAAGATGACACTTAGGTTGTACATACGTTTATGTACAGACATTATGGCATCTAGAGCCACCTGTCATTATAATACACTTAAAAGAGATTACAAGACTGCCGAGTATGCCTATGCTATCAGAAAAGTTAGCACAATCAATGGGCAGAGCTTACCTCAAATATTTCAATGAGAAACCTTTGATAATTCCCCATCAAGATTAGTGTGCGAGTTTTACACTTAAAGTGCAGTGAAGTGAAAAAACAACTCTACAGCAATGATCGCTGCATTCTAATACCTTGAATTATGACAAGCAGCAGCTAGTTACAGTTGAAAAAAGGTAAACTAATTATACAACAATGTAGAAACCATTGAAGGATTATATTTATATTGATACAATAATTACAGTATTTACTATTACAAATCACATGGTCAACAAGTTTCGTATAAGTGATAAACCTCATTCCTGTCCTAGAATGTCAATCGTGTCGTGCTACAAAATGGCAGTAACCATGAACCGACTAAATGTAGTGAATCAGCTGATAATCATTTAACAAAGAAAAATTTAAAAAGGATTATTATTGCTTAATTGACTCTTTGTCTCCTATATTCATTATTGTCAATGGAAGAAATAAAAGTTAATATGCCTTTTTTTTTTATTGTTTCTGATTTTTGCTGTTTTCTCTTAAAAATAATAGTTTGTTTGGGGTTTTATCCTAAGTATTTTCTCGGACAGAAGTTCACCAGCTAAAGAAAAGAGTCCCTCTGAAGGCACACTTGTGGCTGGAATGGCAAGAACAACATGAGCAAGGACAGCTAATTTAGGAAATTCGTTTTCCCTTCCACCATGCAAGGGGATCTATATTGGGGACCTGTTGCCTCTGTTCACAGTACTGACTAACTTCATTGTCGGTCAGGAGTGTGTTTGTGTTGCTAGTCTCTTAGAAAGCTTGTCGAAGGAGATTTTCAAAAGCAGTCCATCTTTTTGCATCGACTTCGTTTTCTCTTGTCCCTCATGGTCTTCTGCTGCAGGAGAGTCGTTTTCTATGAGGTGTTCTATTTTCCTGAAAGCCTTTTCTCTTATTTTGGCAGGAAAGAACACTAACTCCTTAAACCTGGGATCAAGGGCAATTGCAATTATGGGAATCTTTTCTCCCAAGGCAGTATCCTCAGAGCCAAATCGCTGCTTGAGCTGATTTAAAGCAATTGTTTTAAAATTGTTTAGGGCTGGTAAGCTTTTCCATCAATCCATTGAGAATGGGATAGGTTGGAAATACTGACATGACTTTTCCCAGACCACATTTCTCTTGCTTAGGCCAAGGGCTCCAAAATTTTCATAAGTTATCTTGCCAAATACCATTCATCATCATGAAGATTTTTGGCCTGGTTGTGCCTTTGATCAATTCCTAAGCCTGGATCCTCGATAGCCTGGACAATGGTATCTTTCAACTAAATAAGCCTCTTCAGTATTAGATATGTTGAGTTCCATCGTGTTATCATATCCTGTATTGGCTCGAGTGGTGGATTTGCGAAAAAAGCCAACCAAGGAATGTGCATTAGCTAGTATGTTAGACACTGTTCTAGTTTTTAGTCCTGCATTAATTGCTAGTTGAACTGTATGTGCAAAACATGGTGCACTGTAAGAATCCATTCTAGACATTGCTGATGTTACATTGGCAGCATTATCATGTACAACTGGGAATATGTCTTGAATGCCCCAAATATCTGCCACATCTGTAAGTCTCTGGAAATATTTTCTGCAGTGTGGTATTTGGACGTCACTTTCGTTCTCAATTGTTGCATTACTTGTAACATGATAGTTTGGCTCCACAAAGTTCAAAAACTTTTGAAAGGAATGACTATTAACCATTGATAAGGGTTTCAGGTTCTGATAAATAATTCCACACAACAAGGCTGCTCTTTCCCCTTTACGTTGTGCTGAACATAGTCGACTTTCTGTATGCTTGAAAAATCTTCTACAGTGGTTTGTTTTAAACCTATAGGTCCAGCAGCATCTTCCATAATTTTTCGGAATGTTTAGCAGTTAAAAGTTTTAACAAAGACATAGTGCTGCCACCAGAAAATACAAGGGACATTGAACAGATGGAGCATTTTGCCTTGCTTTTGCCAGAACTCATGTCCTGGATCAATTCAAAATAGTCCCACACTTGGCTTTTCTTTTCAGAAGCCATTTGGTATGGAACAAGACTTAAGAGTGCTAGAAATAATCCTCAAGAGCATGCGTAATTTGAAGTTAAAGAAGAAAGCAACAAAAAATTTCAATGTTGAACTTTTTTTGGGTATTATCAAGTTAAAACCCTAGAGAGTAATGTCAAAGTGTTCAGTGAAAATTGTGTGTAAATAACTCCCCTTTAGCATTACTATATAGTCGGATGTTGGTATACTTTGGTGACAGATTTTCTTGTAGGCAGATTTTGTTAAACAAGACCGATGTCTGTAGGTTTACTTTCTTCTTAGAATTCTTCTCAAGAAGTCGATAAGCCGTCACTCACTACAACTTTTACCCGTTGTTCTAACAACGTTAAGACG